GGGGGGGTAGGGTGCGGAGCGAGGTTGTGACCCCCCCCCTGTGCCGTCGCCCTCACCCCCCCCCCCCCCCCCCGCCCCGCATGCAGTACTCCAAGCAAGGCCAAGCCTGGGCACCCCTCCAGCTGTCTGTGACCTGGGAGTGCTCCTCCGACTCCACCCGGGTGCGCGTGGATTACAGCTACAACGCAGCTGCCCTCGCCTCGGCAGCCGCCCTCTCCAACGTCCAAGTCCTGCTGCCGATAGAGGAACCCGCTGCCAACGTCCAGCCACAGCCGGAAGCTTGTTGGTAAGGCCCGGATCCGGGGCAGGAGGAGGAAGCATCAAGTCTTTTGTGCCACTCCTTGGCTCCAGAAGGACTTTGGGGCAGCTTAGAGCAGATAAGCAAACTAAACAGTCCCTGCCTTTCGGGCTTACAATCTAAAAAGTGTGTTTGGGAGACCTGGCATCATGCAGAGAAGGAAAAGGCGATGGAGAGGGAAGAGGAAATAGGGAGCTCAGTTGTTGGGGGTGGGGGGAACGGCCCTCCTTCCTCTCCAGCAGACTCAGAGGAGACTTCGGAAGCACAAAGCTTGCACTAAAGCGCAACAGCTGCCAAGGGGCACCAGTCAAGGCGGCGTTCTCTTTGGGAGCTGGCAGAAGCCTCTGCCTGTGTCTGGCTGACGCCAGCCCTCCCTCTCGCTGGCAAAGGAGCCCCACCAAGGCCCCTGCTGCTGTGCCCAAGAGGAGCGGGGGAAGCGCCTTCTGTGCTGGGGACGGCCTGTTCAGCAGGGAGGGAGCCAGAGGAAGCTCCGGGCTTTTGCTGCCCTGGTGGGATAGGAGGGCCCGAGGCCTGGGAACGCAGCGTGCCCCCAGGCTTTCCCGGGCCCCCTCGCCCGCCACCATGGATTGCATGGCAGGTGTGCTTTGCTGCCTGTTCCGAACGGCTGCCTTCGTGTGTTGCTCAAGAAACCTCCAGTGGAGAAGCAGGATCCGTCTGCCTCCGGCTCCTGCGCGCACCGCCTCCTCGCCTCCTCTGTGCGTGGCAACGGGTGGCCGTGAGGAGCAGCGTCCCTGCTTGGGCCCCCTCGATGCACCACGGTTCGGCTCTTCTTCCGGGCAGAGGCCTCCTGTGTAATACGCGGGGGCTGCAGTGCTGCTCCAGGGGCTGGCAAGGCAGCCTGGGTGTGCCTTGTTCCCTGTGGCCCCCCACCCCTGGCAGGAGGCAGCCTGAGGCCCTGGGCTGAAAGGCCCCTGACTGGCCGGACGGAGCAGCAGCCGTCGGAGTCCATTGCCCGGCGAGGAGAGGAGGAGGTCCCCATGTGGCCTGCCGGAGGGCGGGCCCAGGCCTGATGCCCAGGAAGGCTTGCCGGGTGCCTGTTCCTCGTCACCCTGGGCTGGCCCACTAAGGCAGGCCTGCTCCCCCGTCTCCCTGCAGGAACCTGGAGGAGAAGCGGTTGCTGTGGCGGCTACTGGACGTCCCTGGAGCTCAGGGCCATGGAGGTGAGGGCAGGGCTGGGCCAAGCAGGGTGCGTGCGGTAGCCCTTCCGGGCACGTGGGTGGCCGCCCCCTGGCAGCCACTTCAGGGTTTTGCCAGGCCGCCGTGGCTGAGCTCGCCCTTCTGTGGTCTCCTCCCTCCTCCAGGCTCCGGATGCCTTCTGGCCAGCTGGGAGCCCTTGAACGGCCCCAGCAAGCCCAGCCCAGTGGCCGCCCAGTTTACCAGTGAGGGCAGCACGGTCTCTGGGGCGGATGTGGAGCTGGTCGGCAGCGGGTACCGGATGTCGCTGGTGAAGAAGAGATTTGCCACAGGTGATGGGGAGGCGGCACAGAAACGTGGTCCCTGCATGCCCCAGAACACCCATTCCCTTTAGCTGCCCCCTCTCTAACCACTAGGAAAGACTGCTCCCCTCCACTACCTTCTAACTACTAGGCAAAATTGCTCCCCTCCACTACCCAGTCCCCTCCTCTAATTCCCCCCACTCTAACCACTAAGCAGGCGTGCTCCCTACAGGAACCTCTGTTCCAGATCCTTTCCTGAGATCGCACAGGGCAGTGCCTGTCTTATAACTTCAGCCTCTGGCTAGTCCTGCAAATCCGCAGGCAAAGAGGCAGGCAGGCAGGCACACCACAGAGAGAGAGCCAGAGGGCGATGCGCATGCTGATGCGTGTACACTGAGCCCCGGGGCAAGTGCAGCCACGTCTTCAGTCTTCAGGAGGGCTCGATCAAAACACAGAGCCCATCTTGATGCCATGTTAAAAGTGCCCCAGCAAATCCGCCCAGAGCAGGGGTGGATCAAAACCAGTCATTTGCAGCTGAGGAGGGGCTGGGGGCCAGAGATGATGGGATTTGTAGTTCCATCCACCTAGAGCATGAGTCCTCAAACTAAGGCCCATTTAACTGGCCCACCCCACCGGTTTTGCACTCGCCGGGTGTGCGGCTTGCTCACTGGGAGAACGATTTGTCCTAGCTCAGAGAAAATGATTTCCTCACAAGCAAGCTGGCACCTCGCCCCGCACCCTCGCCAGCCCACCCCTCCCACTGGCACCATCTTGGCGGTCCGTGCCCACTGCTGGCACCTGTCAACTGGCCCCCTTTAGAAAAAGTTGAGGACCCCTGACCTAGAGACTACCAGTTTGAGAAGGCTAACCTGAAATACGTTACTTGCAAGCTTTCTGTATCCTCCCCCAACAAAAAAACCCCCTTTGGCTTGGGAAAAAAAGACGAGGAGGAGGATGGCTTTGTGTTTTATACTAAATATTGGAAGTGGCTCTGAGACATTTTAAACCAGGGGTCTCAAACTCACCTTACCTGGGGGCTTCTGGAAATAGAGTCTGGGTGAGGCTGGGCCGCATCAAGCGGTGGTGGGGGGCCGCTCATCCTGCGCAGCTCCCAGAGGCCGGCCCGGCGCCGCCGGCACTTTGAAGGCCGCAGGGCCCCTCCCCGTGCCCCACCCGGCCCGGCAATTGGCCCGGGCGGGGCTGTGAGTGTGAGACCCCTGCTTTAAACCAAACCTTGAAGGCAGCCTCTACCCCCACCCCCACAGCATGAATAAAAATATGCTTGGCTTGCATTTCCTTTTTCAAGGAGGCAAACCCACTCCTCCCCCACAAAACCCCCTGGGTCTGGGCCATTCTGGTCCCCATCCTGCACTGCATAAATCCCAGGGCAGAGCCTGAGGCAGCCGTCCGCAGACAGAGTTTCTGCTTCTGGAGCCCCTCCTCGCCTCCGGTCGGAGTCAGAGTCCAGACAAGTTCGGCACCTTATTCCCCACCTAACCCCTGGCTCTCTCTTCCTCCTCCAGGAATTTACCTTGCTGGCTCCTGAGCATCCTTTAGCCTTCTGGTCTCGTGTTTTCTGCTTTGTTTTTAAAGTGTGCTGGGAGAAAGAAAGACAGGAAGACAGAATAGTATCTATGTATTTTTAAATTATTGAATTTTGCCTGGATTTTAAACACTGGAGGAAAAAGCATGGTTGGGGCTTCAGGGAGGTGCAGGATCCATCCCCCACCCGTAGCCACAGTCGGAGGACCAGGTGGCCTGGAACCCTGCGAAGTCGCTGTGTGGAACAGGAAAGGCGGCTGCGATGTGCACTGACGGGCTGCGGCCCTGTCTCCTGCTGTCTCGCGTGGCCTTTTCCCCAGCCTGTCTGTGCATTGTCTGCTCACAACCCCCTTTTGCAAGCAGCCTCAGTGCTGCGTTCCGGGCCTGGGAATGGCTGTCCCATTTTCGCAGCTTCTGGGACACACAGCCATGGGAATGTTGCTCTTTTAATAAAAATACTTGATTTTCTAATAAACTTAAAACAAATTAATTGTAACCTTTTGCTAATTTAAATTGATTTGGTTTGAATGGATTAAAAAAATCAGTGTGCAATACCTGAGTGTAGAGAAATCTTCTCGGAACCTGCTCTTCTACATCCTAGCAGTAAAGGGGGCCCAAAACTTGCCCCCAGTTGCTCCAGCTAAGCCTCAGTACCCAGCGGAGGTTCTTGTCCCCGTTGAACAGTCTCTGCTTAAGCATTGGGAGTCTTGGCTCTTGGCCAAGTAATGAAAGGCGGGTGGGGGGAGGCTGAAAGCATGATGAGGGGATGTGTGGGAGGGAACTGGTGAGGCCGAGCCGGGAGGGCCAGGAAGAGGGAGAGTATTCTGCCCCAACATTTCCCAAGGCCACCCTTTCTCCCAAGGGAGAGCTTGGGCCCTTCCCGTAAGGCCCTTCGCAGGCACCATGACACTTCCTTGAGGAGCCTGTTTGAGAACGGGGTTTTTCCACCACTGGTCCATGGAGCGGTGCCAATCTGTGGGAGATTTCCTGTCGGTCCGTGGGGGGGGGGGGTTGCATCCTGCTTGCTGCGGACCACTGTGGGGGCTGTCTCTGCTCCACCACCTCTTCCTTGGTTGGCACCACATTGCAGGGGGTGCTGGTGCCATGGGGGCAGGGAATGGAGGGAGCTCAGTGGGAGCTGGCTGGGAGCCACACTGCGCTGATTGCAGTACTTTGTTTGTTTGTTGGCACTTCTTACTGCTCAGCTTCAGGTTGTTTTGGACCATTTTCGCCCGCCCATCTGCCCATCCTCCCCTCCCCTTTTTTGGTACTGTGTTTGGAAACTAATACACAGGTTCCTCAGCAGCCCCCGAGGTGGTTTTCTTGTTTTTGCCGCTCTCCAGCTGTGGGAAGGTTGAAAACCACTGCTCTAGAGCATCTGCACTGCTACTCCTTTGAGGATAAAGCTCCTAACCATTTTGGTTGCCCTTCTCTGTACTTTTTCCAACTCAATAATTCCTTTTTGCAGGTTAGGGGACTAGAACTGAACACAGCATTTTAAGTGCGTTTGCACCAAGGACTTGTATAAGCCGAGTCAGATCTTGGCAAATCTATTTTCTATTCCTGTCCTAATCAGTCCTAGCGTGGAGCTTGCCTTCCTCACAGCAGCTGCGGACCAGGCCAGCACTCCCACTGAGCTGCCCCCCCCCCCGACCCCTCCTTGCTCAGCCACTGCTAGTTCAGATCCCACTAGCGCAGACTTGAAGCTGGGATTTTGTGCCCCAACATAACACCCCTTTCCGCTTTTTCCCTATGGAACTGGACTTGCCATCTTGATGCCCTTTCTCCCATTTGACGAGATCCTTCGGAGCACCTCACAATCCCTTTTGGTTTTAACCAACCTGCAGAGTTTAGTGTCATCAGCAAACTTGGTCACCTCACTACGTAGTCCTAATTCCAGATCATTTACGAATAAGCTGAAAAGCATAGGGCCCAATACAGAACCCTGTGGGACTGCATTGGTTGCATCTCTCCATTGGGTGAAATTACAATTTGTTCCCACCCTGGCTTCTGTTCTTTAACCAGTTCATGATCCATAAGAGGTGGATCCAAAATTGGCTGCTAAATCGGACCCAAAGAGTGCTCATCAACAGCACCTTCTCAGATGGGATGGAGGTAACCAGTGGGGCGCCACAGGGTTCAGTTGTGGGCCCAGTGCTCTTCAACATCTTTATTGATGATTTATATGAGGAAATACAAGGAAAGAGAATCAGATTTGCAGATGATACAAAACTGGGTGGAATAGCAAACACACTAGAAGACGTTTATACACGCTTGATAAACTTGAATGCTGGGCAAAAGGAAGAGAATAAGATTCAACAGAGGGAAATGCCAAGTCCTCCACCCAGGAAAAAGAGACCAAATGCATTGATACAAGATGGGGAATACATGGCTCAAGAGAACTGAAAAAGAGAAAGACTTCGGAGTTATTATGGACAGCAGGCTAAGTATGAGCCAACAACGTGATGCAGCAGCAAAAACGGCAAACGCTATCCTGGGATGCATTAACAGAAGTATGACTTCCAGATCATGAGAACTGGTAGTCCCCCTGTACTCCTCACTAGTCAGGCCTCACCTGGAATGCTGTGTCCAGTTCTGGGAGCCAAGATTTAAGAATGATGCAGAAAAATTAGAAAAGGTCCAGTGGAGGGCAACAAAAATGATCCAGGGTTTGGAAACTCTGCCCTGTTTCTTCTTTCAAAGTCAGGTGCGACCGTGTTCGGCCTCTTTGGCAGCCTTCCACCTAACTGTAGATCAGATCTGATACCAGCGAATGGCTCAGCAACGTAACTTACATCCTGGACCGTGTCCCGGGCAACCCCGCCTAGGACTGCATCCGGGCTGCCTCCCCTCTGGTTGGCTCCATGACCAACTGCTCCAGGGCAGTTACATGGGACTTGGAGGGATTTAACCCCCATGTCAGGAGTGGAACATGCCTGTATCCAGTCCGCGTGTGGGTAGTTGAAGTCCCCCGTTACTCCAGCGCTACCTTTGCTCAAGGCCTCCCTTATTTCATTTCCCACCCCATGATATGGTCTGGGATATAGTCATATGCTCCTATGATCACGTTCCTTTTGGAGCCAGGAAACTTCACCCATAGTGCTACACACATAGATTAGATACATCACAAATGTGCATCCACACTGATGCGGATACCCCAGGAAAGCCTGGTCAGCTCTTCCTGAGATCGAAAAGCGGCACAGTGCTGTTTCGGCTGAAAGCAATTTTGCCACAGTTTCTGTCTTGGTGGCTGAAGTGTACAGGTGGCGGGGGGTCCTCCTGGTGGCAGATGCTCTGCTTCCAATCAGGCTCCCTCTGTCCTTCAGTGGCCAAGTTTGGGCTATGGGAACGCTGTAGAATCACAGAACAATAGAGGGGGAAGGGGCCCACAAGGCCCTCCAGTCCAGCCGCCTGCTCACTGCAGGACCCCAGGTCAAGGCATCCTGGTCAGAGGGCTCTCCAGTCGCTCTTAAAGGCCTCCAGTGTGGGGGATCCACCACCTCCCTAGGTCATTAATTGCACTGCTCTAGCAGCCAGGGATTTCTTCCTGATGTTCAGCCAAAGCCTGGCTTCCAGTCGCTTCAGCCCTTTATTCCCTGTCCTACTTCTGGGATGATCAAGCAGAGATCCTGACCTCCTCTGTGCAACAGCCTTTCAAGTCCTTCTAAGTGCCATCCTATCTCCCCTGTCTTCTCTTCTTGAGGTTGAACATGCCCAGTTCTCTCAATCTCTCCTCACAGGGCTTGGTTTCCCTTTCCCAGATCATCTTTGTTGGCCAAATCCGAACCTTTTCCAGCTTGTCTGCATCTTTCTTCAACTGTGGTGCCCAGAACTGAACACAGGACTCCAGATGGGAGCTAACTAATGCTGAATGGAGAGGAACCAGCAGCTCACGCAATTTGGAAGCCATAGTTCTGTTAATGCAGTCTCAAATAGCATTCGCTTTTCTTTTTCTTGCAGCGATGTCACACTGTTGGCTCAAATTCAGCTTGTGACCTGTAGCAATTCCAAGATTCTTCTTGCTAGCAGCATTGTAGAACCAAGTATTCCCCATTTTTAACTGTGCATTTGGTTCCCTTTTCCAAGGTGTGGAACTTGGAATTTTTCCTTATTGAATTTCATTCTGGTACTTTCAGTCCAGTGTTCCTGCCTCTCAAGATGACTTTGAACTTTGCTTCTGTCTTCCAGGGTATTATCTAGCCCACCCAATTTTGTGTCATTTGCACATTTGAAAAGCATTCCCTGCACCTCTTCATCTGAGTCATTAATGAAAATGTGGAAGGGCCCTGGGTCCATTAGCCCACTGGCTCCCTCCCCAGTCTGAGAAGATGCCATTGTGAAGCACCCTGAGTCCAACTGTGTAGCCAGCGCTGGATCCACCGGAGCACTGTTCCATCGAACCCACTTTTAGCCAGTTTCCTGATCAGAATGTCATGGGACACTTTGTTAAATGCTTTGCTGATGTCAAGATATTTCATACACTTTCCCGCATTCCTCAAGGGAAGCTACCCACCAAAAAAATGAAATCGGGTCAGTCCTTTCCAAATCCTCGAAGGAGTCCTGCAACAGTGCCTGGAGGATGTCGCGTTCCAAAGTCAATATGCGGACACGCTCGCTGTAAATGAACCACCTTTTTCTAGTATGAAGAGTAGACCTGCGCTGCCTGCACTGGGAGGACCTGGGTGCCGTTTAGCTGGTTCATTGGCAGAACTCAGTCAACCCAACTCTTCTGAAAAAGGTCGAGGCAGAGGTGGGTAACGTGTGCACAGCTCTTTGGCACAGGCAGGTATGTCTGTCATTACTCAGTTTAGCTTATAATTATTTTGTGCAAGAGGAAAAATCAAACACTGGCTTTCAATGCATTTGTGGAGCTGGAAAATCTTAAATTGGGCTGTAATGCATTTGTGTGTGGGGGGCAAGACCCAATGAATGTACTTCTGAGCAGGAGTGTACAGAATTGCTCTGGAAATTAACCAGGATATTATTCTGAAGTCTGTATTAATGTGAGCAAGTTTCAGGATGCAGAGAAAATATAAGCTGACAGGTGCATCTTTCATTAAAAATAAAATGCTACTGAGATAAAAGAATATTTTGCACTGTAAGCAGGAAGCAAGTAAGGGAGAAGCAATTTTAAAAAGTGTCCCCCAAAAGAACAATTTGAGTGCAGAGCAGCCTTTCTCCACCTCTCTAGAAATTTTCCCAGGAATGGGCAGAGAAGTTGACTCCAGATGTTTCACCCTCAATCATGCTGGAAGGGGCTTCTGGGAGGCAGATTCCCAAATATCTGGAGATCTATCTCGCTCTCACCTTGTGACAGTAAGACCTGGATATTTGTATTAGAACCTGCAGTTAAGAAAAAAGAAAAATGGCAGAGAAACTGCCCCATCAAGTGATGCTGCAAAAGGACTGGGGGCAACCGAAAGACAAAGAGGGCGCTAAAGGAAACTTCTCTAGAGGGCAATTCGTTCTCCCCTGTCCACGTTGTTCGCCTGTGTT